TATCCTAGGCCTATGCCTAGCGCTATCCATAGGCCTATCCTAGGCCTATGCCTAGGCTATCCATAGGCCTATCCTAGGCCTATGCCTGGCTAGCCATAGGCCTATCCTAGGCCTATGCCTAGGCTAGCCATAGGCCTATCCTAGGCCTATGCCTAGCGCTATCCATGGGGCTGTCCTCGGCTAATGCCTCGCCTGGATCAAGCAAGGGCACCGGCGCTACGAAAAGGGAGGGAGGGAGAGAAAGCAGCAGAGCAGCACCGCCGTGAGGGGCGCGTGAAACGTCGACGATTCGTGCGCCCCTCCAAATTGGAGTGGCCGTGGGCACAGAAGCTAGCCTACCTCTATCTTTCTGCCGCGCCTAGTACCTTTCCCGGAAATGATCAATCCGGCTCTTTCGGGTGGCCAAAGTCCCCGTGACCGCTCCGTCCCTTCCCTGCCCCCCTTTGTCCGAATGCCCTGCAGGATTTGCGGCCAGGAGACTGGAAGCCGGCGCCGGTCCCGCGCAGGATGTGGCCCGGCATGACCTGGCGGGCAACGACTGGCTGCGAACACCGACGATCACGCTCGAGCGGCGCAACGTCACAATAAAGCGGAGCGTTCCTTTTACTCTGACGGCCGCCACCACTCACAACGCAGCGACGTCGGGCCAATCACCGGCCGCCGCGCTGATGGGAAAGACAAGAGCTCCCTCACAGTTCTCCACCGCGAAGACGAGCACGAGTGTCGTCTCCCCGTAGTGACCGCTGAGCCACAGGTGGCGCCACGAGTGCCGCCGCAAAAACGCCGCCATGGTCTCGCCGGCGACGCTGTCCGTGTTCACGGCCAGCCACTGGAGGAGAAAGACCTCCGAATCACCTCGGAAGATCGGGCAGCCGGGCGGTGTACGGGGGCGGCGCGCGAGGTCGGTGGATTCGGTGCAGCAGAGTTGCCGGGCAACGTGCGGACCACATTCCGGCGTGGATGCAAGCCGCGCTGTGCCGCGACGGGATGCGCGAAGTCGCCCGAGTGATGCCCTCCAAAGTGCAGCAAAACGGCACGTGCACGCCGCGGAAGGGTGGGCAGCGGAGGTCTTCCCGCAAAACGGGCATGAGCGCCGTGAGGACCCGTTCGCGGAGGTCGACGCGTGGTCAACTGCCCAGGGCCGGCGCGGCGAGCGACGGCTGCGAGCTGTAGCACGCAGGGAAGGGGACAGAGCGGTAGCAATGCAAGCAGCAAGATCTCGTCAGACAGCTGGAGAGGTTGCATGGCAGCGGAAGGCCGAAACACAAAAGGGGCGGGCAGCGCAGTTTCGAGCCGGAGACTTGGTGGTGGCAGACAATATCCATTGCGGTCAGACCTGAACGTGAACGGACGCGATAGGGAGGCGCACAGATCCAGCTGTTTTCATCTGGCCAGAAGGTCTGCAATCTAACGTAGATGCAGGACGCCAGCACGCCACCTCGGGCGAGGCGGCGGCGCGGGCGCTTGGAACCGTCCACGCACTTCGCACGTCTTCTCCCCGTCCAGGATACGAAGCAACCACGGCATCTGGAAGAGCAAAATGCGATCACCGGCGACGGGAGCGGCGCTTGGCGCTGCCGGGCATTGCTGCGCCGGCGGCATGGCCACCCGCCGCGGCCCAGAGAGCGCACGAAAAGCTGCGAACACGGCTGCGGACGGAGGGGTTGTAAAACAAGACAGTGTGAGCGTGCAAGCCAAGCGCAGGATGCCAACGCCCCCGACCCCTCAATCGGTTTTCTCGCGCAGCTTCGCGACTGCTGCGACTTGGTGCCCCCCTTCAGAAGGTCAACCCGAAGATGTAGAGGTATGAAAGGGGCACCGGCAAGTCAACGCGCCACACTTGCAACTGCAGCCACGCCTGCCACAGCCGGAGGGTTGTAGAACTCTCTGATCCACGATGCACGGCATCAATGAAAGCTCCGGCCCGGACCCAAACAATAGAGGAGAAGTCGTCCAGATGCGGATCCCGCTGGAGGAGCGCCTGTAAGGTTTCGAGAGTCTCCCGGGAAACGCGGTAATCGAAGACCCCGGCCAGGAAGGCGTGCAGGATGACAAAGAAGGGCAGCACTCTGGGGATGTCTTCGTCCTCGGAATCCTCGACATCCGCCCACCGGACGCCGGGGCGGAGCATGGCAGAGTGGAGGAGAACGCGAGGGCGAGGTGAAAGACGGCCGGAGAATGGCTGCGCCCAGAAAAGCGAACTAAAGGGTCTGCAGGAAAGACGCATGCAAAACGGTCGCTGCTTCAACCGTTTGGGCGCGACCAGTTCTTTTGGCACCCAGCTGCACATCCTTGCAGTCGACTGCGCAGCAGCTGTCACCACCTGACAGGCGGGCAGGGGGTGCGTGGGCAACGCGTGGGAGGTGACTGACAGCTTCTTGCTCGCAGGTCTGGGTCTAGAGGCGGACGTCACCTTGCAAGGAGCAGCGTGCCGCGGCGGCCGTAGGAGCGCGCCGGCGGCCAAACGCTGCAACTTGGAGACTGTACAAAGAAGATAGCCGCCGCGAACGGTCCACGCGTGGATGCACGTCCGGGAAGAATGGAGGATTGAAATAGATGTCAGCTATACAGAGAAAACATAGAGCACCCCGGCCACAACGATGCACACGACTAGCAAAGTCGGGTCGCGTTGCGTCGCCGTCGCCAAAAAGGGCGCCAGTGCAAAAAAAATCAAAACAGAAAGGCTCGAAAGAACGAAGCGCAAGGCAGGACTAAGGCGGCTTCTACCCCAGTCTCTGAAACCTCCACAGGGGCCACACGGCGGCGCTGGGCTGGCTGCTCCACGGGCGCGCGTGCGGGGGGCACCTGGCCATTCTTCACAGGCAAGATCAAGCCATTGCAGCCAAATATCGTGCATCTCCCACGGCAACCCAGCATCGTTGGGCAAGCGTGCCAGTCCTGCGCGAGCGAATGCACGAAGATCACAGCTGAAAATGCCGGAGTTTGCCTTTCTGGCACTTTCGTAGGTCGTCTTCTTCGACCGGACTTATAGGCCAGGGAAACATAGGAAAAGCAAGGTGCCGGGGGGCGTTCAGGAAACAAACGGACGAAAGAAAGGCAGGGTCCTCGTCCGAGAAGCGGCCGCCATGCAGCAGCTCCCGCAGCCGCGCCAAAATGTCGCTCTCCTCGGCCTCCACGCGCTGATCCAGGAACATGTAGGCCTCCAGGTGCGTCGGTGTCTGCGCGCGACGCGCTACCATGCAGAAGATGTTCCGCAAGTTGTTGAGCGCCAACTGGTCCGTGCCACCAGTGAGGTGCAAGGTCCGCAGCACACCTTCGTCCGCACTCTCGGCAGGTGTGAGTGCAACCTCGCCTACGCTGGCCGCTGCGTTCGCGGACGCAGGAACAACGCCAGAGGCCGGATCCAGCAGGGTCGGCAAAGGTGAGGAGCACACAGTCGGTGTTCCAGGTGCCTTGCTGATGACAGGCAGCAGCGGGGCCGCAGCCATGGCAGGAGCGGGATGCGGTGCGACATGCGTGACAGGAGCCGCCAGCAAGGCCGAGGCCGCAGGCGTGGCCGGAGCAGGCAAGGTGGACCGGTCACTCTTGACGGACCCATGCTTGGTGCAGGAACGCGCCACCGCATCCGGAGAAAGCTGGAGATGGGTCTGCAAGAGGGCGACGGTGTGGGAATCTGAAAGCTCCAGCACAGTCGGCTTCACATATCGCTGCCCATCAGACGCCTGCAGCACACTCCCCAGTCCCATGCGTGCCAAGCCCGCCGCGACGTGTTGGAGCCACCACTCGGAGCGCGTGGCATTGGAATGCCCCTGCGCTTTGCTCCACCCCCGATGCAACTGGGCCTGGCCCAGGTCAGCCTGGTTTAGCTTCCGGGTAAACATCCCCTTGCTCACAAAATGCGCATCCGGGCCATGTGAGGGCTTCCCGCATTAAGCCCAGGATCGCTGCATTGTGCTGGCGCGCCGCCTCCTCAACGGGGTCCAGCTGCACCTGCTCCTCGGAAAGCATGTGTACAAAGGCCGGGCCCAGCGCTTGGCAGAACAAGGTCGCGCCCACCTCGCCGTCTGCTTGTGGCCGCAGTGGCGGAAGAGAGGCGGCGTCGACCCCTGCAAGAGACCGGCCAGACGAAGAGACACGGGGAAGGAACCGAACGAAAGGCGCGCGAAACGTCATGTTTGGGCTCTCCCTCCGACGCACAGCAGCGCCGGGCGCAGCCGGGACACCACGAAAGCCAACCGCAAAACCACCAAGGACAGATGCCAGGGTCAGTGCAGCTTGATCCACGATCTCGGCCGTGATGCGCGTGTTGTCGATGGTCGCATCGTCCGGGACCAAGCCGAGGAGCACGCGCAAAGAGAGACTTCCAGCACATCGTAACGCGTGATGCCGTTGGACCTGGCGCAGCTCAGCGGCTAATTGATCGTCAACATACTGCACGTACCCCGCAAGCCGCCAATTCCAGGCATCGAAGCGCCGGAATTTCTTGAGGCCGGAATCCGTGAAGCGCAACTCCTGGTTGGGGAGGCCGTGGACGAAGTGGTAGCACCGCTTCATCCCCTGGACGCAGTCCCCGCGCCGTGGGAGAAGGTCACGGCGAAAGCCAGCCCGATCTTCGAAAGTTCTCCATTCTCCTGAAGGACCCCAGTTGGGAGCTGCACATGGGCGGGTGGCAAGGCATATGGGTTCATCACCGGTGCGGTAAAGAAGAGATACTGCTCCCGGCTGGCGGCGATGACGTCATCGTCGCGCAGGATGCGATCCGCGTCCCGTGCGTTGATGCCACTGATCTGTAGTAGCTGGACCTTGTGTGGCTTCGTACCGTCGCGAGTCTGACGATACAGAGCAAAAAGGTCCTTGCCGTAGCCGCGCTCTTGGTCGCGAAAAATTTTGCTGGGGCGACCTTTGTCCATGAGGACGTTGAGGTCGCTCTGACGAGCTTTGGTTCGCTGGCCTCCCCGCGTATAAGCCCATGTCCTCAAAGAACCCTGCAATCTCGTCATGTCCGTGAAGAAGGCCATGGTAGACGCGGGTTAACCTTGTCGGCAGCGCATTGGGCAAAGAGTTCCTCGGGCGTGGCGCCCGGAATGAACGTGAGGGTCAGGGGCGCCTCAGTGCGGTCAAGCTGTCCGTCAACGTGGCCCTGCAGACTGGCATGATTGAGCCACAGCTCAAAGGGGATCGCATTCTCTTCAATGATCGTGTTGAGGCCCGACTTATTGGTCTTTTTAAAGTGGGCGAACCTCAGGACCCGGCACGCCGAAACAACGGAAACACGGACAGACTGAGCTGCCCACACCAAGCCGTGTGACGTGGTCATTGACCGCTGCCGGATCTTGACCATCACGGCATTCATGGCATGCAGACCGAGGGTCTCATGCGCCAACGTTGTTGGCAAACAGTGCAGGGTGTTGAACAGGGCCTCGATGGCCTGTGCGACCTGGAGGAGTCTAGCGGGGGTGACCTAGGTATGTCCACTCGTGGGTCTGGACATGGACCAGACGGCGTGGACACCCACCCTGTTCACACCACCTGTTTGGAGGTGGTGGAGAGGTTGCTAACCAGCATAGGTATCATGTTATTGCTTTTTTGGTCAAGCCAATAAGCAGGACAACCTTGGAACCACCTCCCATCATAGATCATGGCCACAAGCCACAGGGCATGCTTTTCATTTTTTGCACCAGTTGCACCAGACATCCAGTCTCCAATCTTGGAGGCTTTTGATTATAGGAAGCCGCACCTTTGGCCAGCGGGCCCAAAGAATCAGTGGCCCAATCAGCATACATCAATATGAAACAAGGCATTCATTATTGTTGACTCAACAATTTTTTCACCATAAACAACTTAGACCGCCTCTGTTTTGTAACCGTGCATGAAGTCTTGGAGACACTCACAAGTTCAATGTGAGACATGGTTCTGTCTTCTCGGCCATCCATGCCATGTCTTTGTTTGCCCAGCAAGCACTGGCGACGGCTGTGAGCAGTCAGTGCGTGCAGGTTGATGATCAGCTGATCATCTCACGAGAAGCTGTTTCCGCGGCTTTGCAAGACTGTTGGAGGAGGGCCGGAAAAAGTGCAAAAGAGATTAGCTCTGATCTCAAGCGTTTGTGGAATAAGGTGCAGAGGGCACTGCGTTGTTGAACACGTGTTCAGGTAGCGAATGTAGCAACGAGGTCTTTCTCAATTGAAGTGTTCAATTGGTCTTGGATTTGAGGGGTGCTGGTATTGTTTCTAAAATGGTTGTTTGCTTTAAGGCTTGTGTTTGTCTTGTGGAACTTGTTGACGCCTTTCTCCGCTGGTGTTCAGTTATTGTGCCGGGAGGTGCCTTTGCTGAGTGGCTTTCACGCAAACTTTGTCAGTGCATATGTCTTGAGAGCTGCTTTGGCGGAATGGTCTTTGTCGGCGTTTCCTTTGCCTGCGATCGAAGTGAAAGACAGAGACGCAGCTCATCAGGGCCCAGTGGCAGTGGGTGCGATTTGCCCTTTGACAAGTGAAGCGGTTGTTGTGCCTTCTGACTCTGACTCTGGCCATGATGGTGAGCCTAAACCTGTTGAACCTTCCGCTTCAGCTTCAGCCGCTTCGGTGAGAGGTTCAACGCAGCCTTCACAGCTGGTGTCCATGTTGGCCGGTCCAGTGATTTCTCCTCAACTCCGAAAGTTCCAAGACATGAGTCACGCTGCGCTTGTGAAACTGTGCGCCAAGAAGGAAGGGCAGATCACTGTTCGGGACAAGCGGATTTCACGGCTGAAAGGCGTTTTGAAGAAACAAAAGAGGCAAGCAAACCGGTCTGAAAAACGTCTGGTACAATATTCGGAGAAACTTGCTTGCCAAGTGGATAGCTTTGCCATCAAAAAACTTGGAAAGCAGAAAGAGGGACGAGGAGGGCGGCTGTCCCTGCCAAGTGTTTTCTCAATTGGCCTGAGGCGTTGTTTGACGCATTGTGCTGCTTTGGACTGGGGCGTCATTACTTTACAGGACATATCAGCCCAAACAATCATCCGAGCAGAGATGAAAACAGCTTCAGGACTGATTTTTGCCATGCAGAGCTTCTGCGCTGAAGCGATGGATGTTGCGTTGAGGCAGCATCAGCTCTATATGGATGCAAGTGGCACAGAAGATGCGCAAAACTATTGGAGCTGCACTACCATTAGCTACCGCACGGACGCTACCAATTCATCTTGCTGGCGTCGGAAGAAGCTGCAAGTATTGGAGTCAACTGTCATGTATTTGAAGGATGACACTGCTTCTTGCAAAGGCTCGTTCCAGGCAGCCATGGCATCTCGAAGATGTGTGTGGCGTGGTTATGATTAAAGTATGGTATTTGACATGTTCATGTCTTGTCCTTTGAGTTTTGGGTTAACTGGAGGTAGCTGGCTAATCTGATTTTTTCTTTTGTTATGCTGGCGCACTTATGCACTGTGCCCCAGGTCTGACCTACAAGTGGTCGGTGGTAGCACAGCATCGCATTCTCTCGGATTGGTGATCAAGCAGCTTTCTGCTCTTTGCGTTCCTTACGTCCAAGATCTTCTGGAACATCTGCAGAAGCTTGGCTTGAAGACAGTGGGACACTGAAGATGAAGATGCCAAGGATTCTTTTACCATTTGCCATATTGTCTTGGGGGCAGCAATCACCTCACGATCTCCTGTTCGGGTTTCTTACAACAAATGACCAACAATACTATCTAAGGAACCATACATTGGGACCTCTATCGGTGTTCGTCATCACGGATACCAGCGATTGTGGGTCAGACCAAGCCAGCAGAAGGAAACTAACAAAGGCTGCAGTGGCTGGCGTGGATTTAGATGGTCTGGCTTTGTTCTACCTTGACTGCAATTGTTTGGTACACCAGTTCCACATCATGGTACAGGAACAGCTTTACCTGCTCGATGAGTTTTTGGATTCGTGTATGGCTGAAGAATCTTTCAAGGAACATGCGTTTACAAAATACTACTCCAGCTTGGCCAAGACAGCGTCTTATTGGCGGGAACGGGTTCATGAGGTTATCTGTGCTTGGGAAAACATCCATCAACACCGTGCTCCTGATGGAGTCAACCCTCGAAAGTATCCTCTCAAAGTGATTAGCGGTCGCTGGGGGAGCGTCAGCAACGCGGAGCTGTTTATGTTGGAGCGGTCGCGCACATTTTTAGCTCCAGTGCTGCTTGGCGTCTTGAGCTCAGCAGTGCGTGCTAGACCAAAACAAGATGATGAGGCTGATGAACCTGAGCATACTGCCGGTGTTGGCAGGGGCAGGGCTCGTGGAAGAGGCATGGGCAAGAGGGGTCGAAGTGATGGCAAAGCCAAAGCCAAGAAGCCAAGCAAAACAGATACCTTGGTTGATGATGCTGAAGGCAGAGAAGCTTATCAAGTTAAGATGAGCAAGTGGGCTTCTGGCTGCTACCAAGCCATCCGCTGCAGTCTTTTTTGGCTATGCCTGAGGGTGATGCAGACTGTTCGGTCTCCATTGACGCATTTTTTCCATTGGTGTGAGAAAAATTCCGAAAACCGATTGCTTTTCCAGTTGGTCACAGGAAAAGCTGACGCTTTCCATGCTGAGTTTGAAGAGCTCCTCAAGCAAAGTGGAAAATGGTTTCCGCAAGCGGTTGAGGAAGCGCAAGCTGTTGACATTCCAAACGAGCTTCTGGAACAGGTTCAGAGTTTATGCCATCGTCTTTTGGTCAGCAGTGCAGGCGGCTTCTACTTGAGAATTGTGAAGATGACCAGGAGGCACTGGGTAAACAAATCACTACGGTGTTGCATTATACACGTTTCACGTTCATGTTCATTCCCAGTTCTTAAAATAAAGTCAATCGGGTTGTTGGGGTCGGGGCAGCTAACAAGGTAGACGGCCTTGCGCTGGCTGACAGGTTCCCTTTCAAACTCTTCTGGTTGGTGTGGCAGCCACCTGGACTCAGATGCTCAAGAAGGAAAGGCAGCCTGCAGGAATGGTTTAGGGATTGTATTGCGGTCATTCCGATCCATTGGTTTGATATACAAGGTGCTTGACACAATGACATTAACGAACACTAGAAGTTCAAGAGTCCAAACCCATAGTAAAATCCAAAAGACTACCTATGGTAGTAACTATATGGTAAGTAATATAGTAGCATATATAGTAGTCCTATGAGTCTAAGGTAGATGCTGTCTTATATACTTAGAGTAAAGCTCGGAATGAGCCGTTTGTATCTATCGGTCTATCGGTCGGACTCGAATAGGAAAGGTTATGACGCACCGCATCACCAAAAATGTGCAGGTACACAGAAGTGATCAATCTCCACTTCCTAGTAAGTAGGGCGTCTGCAAAGAGCGTTGTTGGGCAGCTTTGCAAGTCCTCTCCAACCCCAAACCCCCTTCGACTGACCCTTTGAATTGGACACGGCCACTGCGTAAGGCATTGCCTCAGAAATCTTGGCGGCCAATGATGGGGAGTTGGAGTTCAACACCAGACGGCTGAAGGTTCTTTGCCAGAAAGAATTGGAATTTGTAGCAGAGCACGGCCATTTCAACCTTCGCTTTACAACGCGTGGCTCTGTCTTGTTTACCGTTGTTAGTGCCATGTGTACTGCTTTGCAGGCGGACACAGAGTTGATAGAGTCAATCAATTCCTCCATCAAGCTGATATGCAGACGTTGTCCCAAGATTGAACTCCCAACCCTGTCAAGTCGAGTGACAGTGAAGAAAGCAGTTGCTGGAACACATCTAGCAGCCGATGGATCTCGTCAAATTGGTTCCAAAAAGTGGAGCATGCTGAAGGCAAAAGCTTTGCCTCTACTGGAGGAGTTGATTGGTATTGGTGATGCTTACAAAGAGGTCTACAACCAAGGAAGTCGATTTCGTGGGTTGGTTCCTGCAATTTCTTGGTCTGAGGTGTCTCCTTTGCTTGGCAACCATGACATCAGCCTGGCAATGCCGGATTTGAAACCCAAAGCCTGTTTGATTTGGGTGGCTGCGTCAGCAGCTAGGTTGAGAGCAGCCATCAACAACAGCGTGGACAAGCATCCTGCTTGCCATGTGGTCTTGGCCGTGCAAAACACAAACAGTTGTAGTGACAACATTGCTGAAGCGGATTCTGCCCCTATCGTTGCCGCTCAGTCTTTGACACATTACTTGGTGGTAACATCTTTGAGGTCGCAGTTGGTCCTTGCAAGGGTTCAGTCTGAAGATGGACAGCTGCTGTTGGATTCGAGCAAGATTTGTTTCACAACCATTGCAGATGTTTTTCAAGAGCGCTACGAACGTTGCCAACATGAGAAAATGGTTTTCAAGCTCTTTGTTGGGCAGTACTTGTGCACAAACACGCCAGGTGCGCGCTACTTGCAGTTGAAAATCATGGACGTTGGTGGGCGCGTCTTGGGGTCTTCATGTGACACAAGCGAGTTTGTGGAAAGCCTGCGGCACATTAAACCTGTCCAGCGCGCTCACACTACACCATCTTTGCCGAGCGCAAGCAATGAAACTCAAACAGCTGCGCTTGATGATGAGTCTGAAGTTGGCATTATGGATCTCATGGATTTTGAAGCTGGATACGGTTTGGAGGAAGAAGCCCGCAGATCTGCAGAGGAATCAGTGCGCCTGGAGAAAGAGCTCTTGGACGAGGACATCACGCAAAGGAACACAGCACTTTTGCGGAAATCACGCATTGCTGAAGCTGCTGCAAAATCACAGAAATCTTCAGTGGTTGAAACCCAGAACGCTGTCAGCCAACTCCCAACTGGTCAAGTCGGTTTGACCCCTGATGAGCTAGAAGAAGAAGCTTTGCTTAACATTGTCAGGGAAGTGAACAAGCGGCCTTCTAGCCAACCGGCGCTGGGACAAAGCATGAGCAAGACCGCCCAAGATGCTGTCGATGCGGACCTCTTTGGCTTTAGCAGCAGCGGCAGCAGTGACAGTGAAGGTGCAGAACAATTGCCGGTCCGAGCGAAACCGCAAGTTAAGCTTGACAAATTGGACAAAGCTTGGGCTGTTTGGCAAGAGAAAGCCGTGGATACGCTGATGTCTATTGTCAAGTGTCACCAACGCTCTGAAAGTGCAATTGGGGACAACGGTGAGATTGCGCTGGTGGCAAGATGCCCGCTGCCTTCACAGTCTCCAGCTGCGCTCCTTCGCAATCGTGGTGCTGAGGATGATCAGTCGGAAACAGGCTCTTTTGAGGTGTTGTTTGTTCATTGGACAAACCCAACAGAGCATGAAGGGCGGACAGTCAGAATTAACAACCGGAGTCAGGTGGTTTTCTCACCAGCTGTGCTCTTTGGAAAGCCTGTGCAATCAACGTTTTTTGTTCCACCTCAGTACGCCATCCTGGTCAGTTGCGTGGGGGCACGCAACTTTCGGTCTACGGGGCGCTCTCGGGACACTTTGCCTGAGGACGTTGTGAGGTTTGTGGCTGTTGCACGCTTGGCGGCTATGTATGCCAACAAGGACCTGTCAGGAACAGTTGAAAGTTGAACGGCTGTATGATGGTTTTAAAAATACCACCAGCTCGGGTTCCCAAAGTTCTTGTAACACAATTGCAGTGTGTTTTTCATAAGATAGCGAGAACTATCGGGGTTCTTACATTGTGGAGCTTGGGTGCTGGTAGCGTTGTTGGACTGCCCGCAAACATGTTTTGCTATTTGGTGTCTACGCTGGCGTAATTCACTAAATTGGTTTCCGTGTTTTACTAACTAACTACCTTTGACCTTAGCTTCTCTTGTAGAATTCAATCGCCAGTTGTGCAGTCTCAGCAGGGGGCACGGCGAGTGTTCACCTAGCCGTGCTAACAGAGCTACGGCGTTCAGTTGGATGAGACGCTGGACGCAGTATCTTGTACCTGCTTGATGTTGCTCTTGGGCGCAATTAAGCTGCAGGTGGAGGACCAATACTGTTCAGGCTGACTCCTTCACCCTTCCGTTGCGAGCAGTGCTTTTTCAGGTCTTACTGTACGCTTCAGCGCTCTACACCGGTAATGTAATCACTCGAGTGGAACTTCACAACTGGTCATGCCCTTGCGAGCATATCTAAGTGTGAGGTGTTCTTACTTCTTGGACTTTACCAGTCAACTTAAAGAAAACCCAATCCAAGACCATTCAACAAATCCTATGAACAAAGGGTCATAAGAGTTTATGAGATCTATCGCCACATCACCCCTCATCCACACACAGGAAGAGCGTTTTGCTTCTGCGTCTTGGGGTGGTGGCCGCAAGAAGAGTTGCGCGCTTTGCAACAAGAGCTGCAAGGGGCAAACACCATGCGCCTTGTGCCTCCTGTTTTGGCACCAGGAGTGTTCGCAGGCTGTTTTGGATCACGCTGGTCCGGGCATGTACTCTACTGAGGGTTCTCTTCAGAGTGTAGTTGGACAAAGTCAGTTCCCTGTCCAGCAGCTCCCACAATGGCTGCGCTCAGTGTTTTTCACCCGCAACGCTTCATCGTCTTCATTGTCGTCCGGGCCGCTTCATGATTTGGAAAGCAGGACTGGGCTGGAATGAAAGTGATCGTAGGTTTATGTTTTGTAGCTTTGATGATAAGGAGTCAAGTCGCTGGTTCTTCCACTCTTGAATGCTGACCAGTCCCATGGTCTTGGTTGTTTGGATTAACCGTATTAACCCACGAAGATAACCACACCCTTGGAATAGATGGAAGATCGACTATAAAATTCCAACTGTCTATCCATTCGGTTCAACCAGTTTCCAAACATAGCTAGGACATGCCGTCTTTGCCAGCGATTGCTGGAACAGTTCGAGCAGCCAGGGTCTCAGGCTTTCAGTCGCTCAGTCTTGGCCGTTGGTCATGGTCCTGCAGAAAGGATTCAACTTTCCAACGGTAATGGCATGGCCTTGGAAAAACGGAAATCTGTTAGGCTGATGCCCAGTGATATTCAAGAAGGATCTTGAACACACATATATCAAGTTTTCATGTCAATGAGTCCCGTTCCTTTACTGGCCCTGCGTGAAATGTTGACTGTCATTATCGTCGTTGTCATGACTGTCACGGACTCATGGACACCGCCTGCTATCAGGCCGCAGACTGATGCCTCCGCTGCTTCTTCTTCGAGAGCAGCTCTCCTGGCAGGACATGCTTTGGGTGCAGCCGGTCGGGGTTTGAAGTGGTTGTGAAGCTCTGAAGCAATTTGGCTGTGATTTAATTTGACCGTGATATTGTCATCACCGTTGGCCTGACACTTGTAAATCACACCTTTTGGCTCAAGACAATTTTGGGACCACAGCGCAGGGCTTCTGTTCATAGGCCTTATGGCTCTGAACCGTTTCGATAGCGGTATCATTGTGATTGATGATGAAGAGGGAAATCACTTTGAGAGAGCCACCAAAGTCAGAAGGGTAGCATCGCCGAAGGCAAAGCCGACTGTTTCAGAGCGAGCGCCAGTGAGACCTTCCAGAGCTTTGCTGCAGCCACAGCCTTCAGAAGGTTTGCCAAAGCCTTCAAAAGCTTTGCCGGCGGCATGTGTGGCATCATCGCCTTCAATGCAGTCTGGGCCATCTGAGCCTGAGCCTTCGAGCTGTCCTCCCCCACCGCCCGTCCATGATGGCAGGAGTCGCTCACCTTCATGTGCGCCGTGCGTTTCAGAGGATGATGAACCCTTCGACGATGGCTTGCCATGGGGCCAGGACATCCGCAAATACTATTCTCCATACAGCCCATCATGGAGTCCATCGGAGTTGCCACCACCACCAAGCCATGCGCAGACACCACTGACACCGCCACCGCCGCCGCACCGTCCTGTTACTTCACCGACACCACCAAGCCATGCGAAGACACCACTGACACCACTCACACCCCCCCCACCACCGCCACGCCGTCCTGTTACTCCACCGACACCGCCAGCTTGGAAGAAGAACGCAGGGCCGGAGAGACCTTATGCTTGCGGAGTTCCTCGTGACTACGCTGATGATGATGATGTGGCGCGTAGCCGCCGCCAACTTGGCCTGACCTACAGTCCACCGCCACCAAGAACTAGGTTGACATCCTATGCTCCACGCACCCCTGCCCGGCATTCTTACTGGCCGCGCGGTTGTCGGTAGTGTAGCACAGTAGTCACTGCCTGCTTTTAGCTGTGATCGGAATTGGCAAAGGCCGACGTGAAACACGTCAAGACCTTTATGCTTCTATGTCTATCGCCGAGTCTATCGCTATGTTGAAAATGATATCTCAAGCCAGGTTGCAAGGTCTTAATGAGGGTGAGGTTGCCAGAACACTTCCAGGGCACCGGTTAAGTTGCATTATACTATACTGAGCATACTGCGCGCTGTAAAAGAGTGTGTTATGATCATCTTCACATGGTCCCAGTTTTTATATATATATATATACATATAGTTCCATTAGAGCCTTAGGGCTGCAACCGCTCCAGGACAGCCAGCGGGCTGAGATGAGATGAATCTGGCGCAGGCCGACCAGCGATTTCCAAAGGTCCATCGTTTTCATATGCGTGTACACACTGGGCAAAGGGACTTGATAGACTCAAGCTATGAGTGTCGTTACATGAGCGCAACAAAGCTATTATTGTTACCCCAGAGCAGTCTCTACAGTAACGAATTTCCTGATAATATTATTCACCAGCGTGGTGACGTGGTGTGGTTTGGGAAGGCATGAATCATGACCCGTCAATCATATAGCCCCCCCATAACAAGGCGTGAACTTGTGCGCGGGTGGACTGGGAGGAGAGGCGTGGACAGGGCTTGTCCACGCGTGGCCTGGGAGGAGGGGGTGTGGAC